GTTTTTTCTTATTATATCCCAATTTTATCCCTGTTTTATTTCTGTTTTAAGGCTATTTTCAACCTATTTTATTTTTAGCTTGTCCTATTCATACTATTTTAACACTATTTTCTCATCAGGTTGCATACACATTTTAGACTATTTTTACACTATTTTAAAGCTATTTTAAAGCTAATTTACAGAATCTTTGAGTACACAGATCTGGACTATTTTTCGGTATTTTTTGTTTCAAAATAATAGGTTTAAAATAGATAAAAAGTTCCTTTAAAATAGTCCTTAAAAATAGGGAAAAAATACAAAAAAGATAGAAATAAAATAGGTATAAAATAGATTTAAAATAGACCATATTTTCATAAGGGTAAATGGTTGTAAATTTTCTCTTATTTGATTACCATTTAAGTTGGGTAGAAGTTGTCTCTGTAAAAGCTATAATGTCACCATTACAAATTAAAGAATCAAACGTAATGTCAACACTGTTTATTAAGAGATCTGATATTAAGAAGGCTGATAACTAACGGTGTCAGATCATTTTGGTGCATTTGTTGATCACGCATGGTGATCGCTTCTACATTTCTTAATCTTTCATATTCTTCCCGTACTTCAGGATTTGCTCTAACATGCTTGTGTTCAATTTTTCCAAGTGTGTAAATACCTTGTAATGTTTTAGCGCGACTTATTGCAACATATATTTGACCATGGTTAAAACTTCTTTGTATGTTAAGATGAAAGCTTATTACTATTCTATCCATTGTCAATCCTTACACTTTGTGGACAGTGCAAGCCCATGCTAATGTAATTGGAAACTGTATTCCTTGTGTCTCAGGTGATGATGGCTTATTAGGTCTTACTTTCATCTTTGGCAAGAATTGGGTTCAATAAGTACTTCTTTATGTTCTTTAGCATATTGGTTATTGCTATTATTAATCATGTTTTGTCCTGCTTTATCATCATCAAATTTAATGAATATTGTTGATGGCCTTTGGATGTTTGGATTGACATATATGTTGACTACTGTACCAATCTGACCATTGATCAATCTGTCTGAGATGTCAATATTAGCTATGAGCATTACTCTTGCTGTTTCTTTTAAATGAAGTTCATAATCAAGTCTACCAGTTTCAGATCTTCCTCTTGCCAGTACTCTGTCAATATCTTGTTTGTTGACATTGTTAGGATATTGATCTGTGGCTTTCAGGGTAAATATAGGTTTAGGAATCTGTGCTAATTTTGGATTGTTGTGTGGGTCTACTGGGATGTTTTCAGCCCATATGTGAAGAGCATCTGATGGGTAATTGCTGCCTAATGAACTGATTGATCTTGGCTGAATGCTGCAGATGTCTTCATCAGTCTGGGATCCAGTTCTCGATCTATTCAAAAGTTCAGTAAATGGTTGGTCATTTTTTTGCCTCATTATTTATGCGAGCTCAATCATTTCAAATGCATGCCAAGTGTGACAAAGATTAAAAGCATTATTTGCATAATTATCAAAAACTAATTTTCTTTAAATTGGTGGTAGCTGATATAAATCATCGAGAGCAACAATACTTACACCAGCAAAAAGCTGCGAGTTGTTAGTATCAAATGTCTCTTTTAATTGCTGATGAATATGGAGGAGAGTAGTGTTACCAACCATTGAGATCTCATCTATTATTATTAGCTTCAGCTCACACAGTGATAATCTCATTTGTGTTCTTTTCTGGTCAGACATTGCAGGTAGGACATCACCTGTATTTTTAGGTGTTGCTAATGCTGTGTTTATGGTTGCACCATCAATGTTTATTACTGCTACTCCAGTAGGTGCTGCTAGTAAGACTGTTGGTTTCTCAGGATTCATTGGAGCATTTTTATACGTTTTTACAACAGTGTGGTAGATTGTTTTAATCAAATGGCTTTTTCCAGCACCACCTCCTCCAGTTATAAACAGATAAATTGGTTCAACATTTTGTGACTTCAGGCTGTTGAGGTTCTTCATTTTATTTCTTGCCCATGAAAGTACCCTGTCATATGCTTTGCATTGCATAGTATTTAATGATCTAACTGATTGACGCAATTGGTCATCAGATATTTGTGTTGGTTGATTATAGTGGAGCTCTGGCGGCCCGAAGGGCTGCCAAGCGGAGCCCCATACTCATATAGGAAAGAAAAGGAAACCCATGAGTTGATTTTCTCGTGGTTATCATGGCTAGTGGTATTGCTCATGGGCGTGTACACATGACAGCAACAGCAACGATGACGGAGTCGTGTAACATGGCGGCCATACTCCAAATAATAGGTTGACAGAGACATGCACCCTTGCTTTATCATGCACTTCTTTGATATTGGACATCCATGTCATGATCAACTGACATCTGTCAAAACAAGGTATCTGCAGACCAGTATCATGTGACCATATTGCAGGCTCAAGTTTACAGCTCATCAAGGTCACACATATTTTTGAAGTTGACTGCTGGCCAAGTGCTCGTTTTCAATTGGATTGCAGGCTCATGTCAGGTTAACTTGTTGAAAACAGGGCAGGATTGTTCTGAAGGCGGTTAATGCTAACCCAGGATTAAAAGTTAACCGAATTATAACTTTTTCTTCTATACAAATGTTTTTTGCTGCTTTGTTTTGTGTATATGTGACCCTCCACAGGAAAACAGGGATAAAGGTGATACCACGCTCACAACATGCTTCCACTCTAAAACAGAAGAATTTGGCTTCAGCACACTTAAAGCGTGTTCAGGAGCACAGTTCATTAGCAAGCTCTTTTGTTTGGTTGGACACACAAAGAACAAAAAAGCATGCTCATACTAACAATGCGGTCAAACAAGAAAGTGTGTTAAACTTCAAAAACAAAAGCTAGCATGCGACAACATGCTTTAGTGTGTGAAATAGCACAACATGCTTAAAGCATGCGATATTTTGTGTAAAAAACTATTTTACTAGTGTGCTAAAAGAGTTTTTGAAGAACGAATGGAACATTGCCGAACATTGCGACTGGATGTCGATTGAAACTGTGAGCACAGAACTTAAGGTTACTCACAGGACGGTTTTGTGAATCATGTATCCTCTCGTTGTCACAGATGTTCTAAACGCGTTTCAAACATTCCCCAGAATAATGTTCATGACACAGTTAATTGTAAACAGCATTTATTGAAGCGATGTACACAGATGACGCGAAGCGTAACAAATCGAATATCGAAGCGATGTATAGAAGCGTCGTAAAGAAGCGTCGTTAAGAAACAATTGAGAATTGGTGAAAACACTGAAATGGTTTCGAAAACTAAGAAACGAATAACGAAGTAGAAACTACAATTAGGCTAGCTAGAAAACTACTACAAATTTAGGAAATAAACGTTTGGTAATGCAAAGACAATAAAAGACATTCAATAATGAAAAAACTTACTTCTGTGTCCATGTGAGGGATTTCACATGCGTTGAGTTGAGCCTAAGAGTTTGATCTTAATACGATGACACGTTGACTAGAACTGGTTTTTTTGAACACGTTAGAAGAAATATTACCGTATACAAAGCATAATAGATTTCTTTGTTTCGTTTACCATACGTGGGCAAACACATCCACAAAAATAACCACAAAAAAGGACGTCCTAGGATTAATACAAAGAAACTTTAAAGGCTAGAAAGGAAATTAAAAACCAT